TTTCTGTTATTCTATGTGCCACTCTATACATATTTATATACACATGATATTGTTATTTCATGCATTATGTCTGAACAGACTATGTGCTTATTCCACCGTAATATAAGTCATTTGGGAAATTAGTATGCTTGGAATGTTTGGATATATAAGAAAAGTGTTTTAACACTGGCTCACTGCTATTCTACATTGTATAAAAATGTATTTTATGTTTCCTCGCTAAAAATTTTGAATATTATGATGTAACTAGGTGAAATAATACCTAGTGTGTGAACTGTTTTCTTTCCAAACGGAATCCGTGCACTTTACGTTTGGCTTGAGGAGGGACGGCGGCTCACAATTTCATCACAGTAAACATCATATGCTTCAGGTGGTTATCCTATTCTTCCTTAAATATCTTTATAATCTTTATACTAAGGAGTGATTAAGGTGTTTCAGTGCCAATTATCTCTCCTTCAGACTGCTTTCAAATGAACATTTCTTCGGCTATAATCTTCAATTAATAATTCCAAACTTAATTCTACAAAATATCACATGACAGTTTCTAGCCTCAGATATGAGCAAGAGTCGTGCGATTTACTCTATTTATGCTGATATTTTTAAAGGGCTAATAGTACCCGATGAAATCTACTCTAGTTTATTTATTTCTTACATCTTTCCTCATATATCGATTATTCAGTATGTTTCTTCAAGAAAATTTGGTTGACAGTGTATGTAAGATTTTTACATAATCCAGTCTTCGCTTTGCATTTTAACCATGTCTTCACAGTGTCCTTCCCGAGTGACTCATGAAAGACTACAGTACATTGTTTTCATTCAAATTACACACACTGATTCAAGTTGGAAAGCAAGCACGTCTGGCCAGAATCCTGGAAGGTCACCTCCTATATCTCAAAGACCAACGTACAAGGTCTAAGTAATATGTTCCTCCATCTGCAAGCTTAAATAGTATACACATATTCACAGATTCTGTAGGACTAATATTCGGTTTAGTTAGTGTCGGTGTTTCAATGTACGCTAAAATCAAAGCTACATGCCTAAAACGGATCCCAGTTAACGGTCATTTATGCGCCATGATAACAGAAGGCTATGTTACAGTAAGAAGAAAAAAACTGGCAGTGTTGTCTTTAGCCGTTTTTGCCTATATGCAGATCAGTTTTATCTCAAGTGTAATTAAAGAGACATTCTAACATCAAGTAACTAGGTTCCCAAACAGCTGCATTTGACGAGTGTCACTGTGCTACCAGAAAATGTGAATACACAAGTCGGAGGTCAAAGCTTAGAGAGAAGTCGTTTAGGTGGTCACTATTGATTAGTTGGTGGCATATCAGATATTTAGGACTGTCTTCTGCAACTTTTAGCAAGTGACGATTTAAATCTAACCAGCATCAACTTCCGTAAAGCTATCTCTGTAGTGTCACCTTTCGTCGTCCCTTTGTAAGTCAAGCTTGAATTCAAACAGATCACGCTGTTATCAGTCACCAGACGCTTGGTTGCGTTCAGGATTACCGCTCACTTTAGAGAATTTGTCCCGATTTCTGGTGGTTCCACGAATTCTCTTGAACTCTTCTGACCATTTAAGAGCGTAACAAGTAAAATAATCCCCGTGAGACTAACTCATAAAAATCAAAGAGTGAATACACTGAGCTTACAAAGGCAAACGGATAAAGGCCCGTTTAAGATGGAATCAGCAGTTGTACCTAGATATAACCGGAAGCTGATCTAGTTCATTCAAGTCACGGGTGTTTGGCTTCTATGAGACGTTCTGGAATGCAGATGATATATCAAATCAAAGCCTGAAAGGCACCCGAAAAGCTGAGTGAAGCTCTTCAAAAAATGGTTCATTACTTTCACAGTGCTAATATTCAGTATCCTTTATCCTGTTACCTCATAGTCGGCTAACACCTTTCTCCCTGACGTAGAGGAGTTTCAACAGGAACATTTAGCAGGACGGTGATTTGTTACCAGTTGCGTCTATAATATTGGCTGATGTTGTACTCTGTGATTTCTCCTTCAGGCCATGGATACTTCCACCAGGCATTCTTCCCTCTTCAGTTTTCAGAGCACTATCAAACATACTGTAGGCCGATAATCAGTGTATCACTTGATGTCTTCGATTGGCCAGGTAATAATGTTTTTGGAATTGACTGTTAGAGAGACTTCTGTCGGTTGGTTCTTATATAAAACACTTCAAGTAGAGAGAGGAGATGCAACTACCTAACACCACTTTTTTCAGCGAGTAATCAGTCTGGATTGAATGGACTGACCTCTAAATTTCTTTTACTTAGCCACTGTTGACATTCTTTAGACAGTCGTAAATACTGTGATTGTGATCTAGGTCTGTTACCTAAAGAAAGACTTTTCACTTGTGGGTATGAAGACAATATCACCTTACAGTGCGATAACATTCAGTCTACACAAACTCTACCTAATCATTTGGTGATTCGTGCCTGTAAGTTCATTATGTACTTTTCTCCATTCAAATGGAAATAACCGTTGCCAGATTTGTAGGAAGTCTGTTTCTCCATTCACCCTTCCAGGTGGACAGTCAAAAACAGTCGAGTAGTTCATATATCTGAATAGCCAAATAACTGCTAATAAAAGTGTAATAGATGAAGTTTATGATCGATGTCAGCTCCATGTAATCAAACAAAATCACTACAAAACCAATACTTGAAATTTAACCTGATGCTCACTAGTGATTGGCCTGTTCAGGCAGTTAACCTGTGGTTCTAGTGGGAAGCCGTGACCAGTAGGATACAGCAGGTTGAAGATGAGGCAGTAACTCATCGAAGAAAACATTGCGAAATGGTCGCGCTATGTCGTGAATTGGCAGAAGTTAGAATTCAAGGAGCATTGGATCGGGTCTCAGTTGCTCAATGGTCTACGAGTTCGCCTTGTAACCAGAAGGTCCTGGGTTTGAACCCCGGGGGTGCGTACTGCTGAAGAGTCCCAAGCTAGGACGAAACAGCTGTCCAATACTCCCAGGTTTTCTAATGGTTCTCTAGCCAATGTCAGCTCATGATGAGATCCTCCATGAAATTTTTGATCGTATATTGAAAGCCACAGAGGTTTACTCCAGCGTTTGCCACATATGGCACCGTTCTGATGTTAGAGCGACCATAAAAATCCACCTTTATAATATTTCTGTGTACGTGGTCATGTTTTATGTCTGTCAAACTTAACTCTTCCAGGCTGAGTACGTACAACAACTCCGTGTATTTGATCCTCGTTTTTTCCAAGATATTAATGGCTTGAGACTTTATTACATATGACTAGAATTGGGAATAAGTGGTTAACATGCTGCAACTTCCATCATTCTTTTCCCTTTCTGAAGGTAGTACAATGTAATAAACGCCTTTCTCGATACTCTTCACAAGTATACTTATCTGCATTCATTACAGTTTGCCGTAATTATTCTGTTTCTGCTTTCCTCAGATGGTTGCTTCAGTATCTTCTGTAGGGTCTTTATGAGTGCCTATATTGTACCAAGTGTGTTTTATTAATGAAATTAGATTTCACCCAGATTCTTTTCTGTTTTTTTTCTAAGACCACGTGCAAACTGCCAGCTATACTTGATTGCACTAACATCTTTTCGTGAACAAAAATTTGTTAGGAACGAACTTGTAGATCATCTTTGGACAAACAAATACCGTTTCTTAACTTCACCATTATTTTTCAACAGCTGTAAGCACTATGTGCGAAGTTATATCACTATGTAAAAATAAAACTTTCTCTGTTTAAATATACTTAGTGAAACCAATGGCTACATAATGGTAGGACAAGTGCCAGTCGAACTTTATTAGGCGGAAGCTAAAGTATCATAGCCAGGGTAAAGATTAATATCAGTAAAAAGTTTGAGCATTGTGGATTAGATCAAATAAAGTATAATTATATTTCAATAGTTTACACACAATGATAAGTTTTTTTATTGGTAATATTTCGAGCAAAATTACCAATAACAAAACTTATCATTGTGTGTAAACTATTGAAATATAATTATACTTTATTTGATAGGGTAAAGATCTTTCAAAATTTGGACTTCAGAGACCAGTCAAACGCAGGGAATATTACGAAAAGTCATTCCAAATCAAACCATGCCTATCTCTTTGGACTTGGAGAGGGTAGATACAGTATTCTGCTTATATCCTAGGTAATTCTTCTGTCACTATATACTGTTAGGTAGAATTATGACTTCTAAGATTAAGGTTTTGTGTCCAGGGTTAAGGTTAGGAGTGGGGTTCAAGTTAGGATTAGGAGTTAAGATCATGGTTAGAGTTAGAGGCAAATTAAAGAAGAGTGGTAGGAATGTCAACGGATCTCAAAGCACCGTAAGCCACAGCTGCCTAAATGAATGGATATTTCGCGCAATTTACGACTTCTATATAGATCATCTGTGTAGTGACTGGGAGACATTCTTACAACTCATAAGTGACAACTTTAAGGTGTAATATTATGTTTGCAATGTTCAGTCGTGCATTTTTCAACGATTATGCGACTATTTTGCATTTGAATCCTGACTGGTTGTTCAAAATCACTGGGGTTTTGACTATGATGGTTCAACTTTTCCTTTATTAGTCTTCCACAAATTCTTCTGAAATACAGATACCTGAAATGGATTGAGCAATGAAAATAAATTCGATTATATTTCTATGAATAGACATATTTTCTTTCTGAATGACTACAATAAAATGCATGTTAAACATAGTGATACACTAACTGTGGTTCGTGAAGCCTGAAATCCGAAAACAGGCTAAAACTCTCAAGTAAGACACGGTAACTTAAAAAGAAAATCATAGTGAATGCTTCCGGTATTACATCGGAAGAACAATGTGAAGATTTGGTATAAAACAACTTTTTAGACTACATTTTAAGAGAACTACAAATCATAAAAATGATATTTGTCCACATTTCAAGAAAAATTAGGAATATATGCTCTTTAAGAGCAAATATCATAATAAATATATGTTTACAGTTAATAGAAATGTTAGTGACAAACTTACCTTAGCCGGATTGAATCGAACTCCGTAAAGTTCAACTTTTCGAGCAGTATCCAGTAAATTATAATCGGCTTCAGCTGGTGTCTGTCCTCTATACGCAGAGTGTATATAGTTGGTGTTCATTTGTATTTTCACAGTTGGGGAACAGAAAGAGAGAAATATAAAAACGATAGATGAGAAAACACTGTCAACAAATGATTTTATTGCGTAAATTTAAAAACATTTTCTTTATGAGTAATTTCAACAAAATTTTTACTTTTTTAGAAGAGGATAAGTACCAGTGCATACTTGTTAGTACTTTTAAGCGATGTAGACAATGCTGTTTGGATGAGTAATAAGCTCAAAAGATAAATTCATTTAACCAATATGGTTAAAACAAATAGAATCACCAAACTTGAAATAACAGTGATAAACTATAATAATGGATAACGAATAAAACAAAAATCAAGAATTCCGGAGTTTTTCTTATCCTAACTAATGCTAGATGGAAATATTCATTGCGTGAAGTGTGCTACTAACAAGAATTTGTAAGTGACTTAGTAGTTTTGATGAGATTGTGTTCTCAGAGTTGCGTAGGGTGATTGCGAAGATTTCAATGCTACAGTTTATGGAGATTCTCGCGGAAGATATATGCTACTTGCAAATTCACGTCGTTATTACACGCCACAGTCGTATCTCTGACTACACTTCAGTTTAATTTGAATACTTTTTTAAAAGTTTTGGTAGAAAGTGACGAAATTAATATTTTCGTGGAAAACATATTCTTTAAAGAAATAAAGATTCACTAAAGATTGGTAAATTTAAAAATGTTGTAAGAATTATCTATTTTTAAGCTCGACGACGGATTGATGTTAGTTAGAAGACTGTAGAAAATCAGGGAGTACTAGACATCCATTTCGTCCTAGTCTGGGAGTCGCCGGCAGCACGCAGCCATTGAAGTTTGAACCTAGGACCTTCTGGTTACAGTGCGAACTCATTTGAAATTCAGCCACTGGGACCGGATCCAGTGACGTATGAATTACAACTTCTATCATTTCAGGATTTTAGTTCGACTACCAGCCAATGTCATCAGCGAGTATATTTCCTCACTCCCAACCGGATGAACTCTATCAATTCTTGGAAAATACCTATTTCATTTTCCTCGAAAGCAAACATATGTCAGAATCTCACCATTTGTTTCACTGAATACTCGTAAATAAACTCAGGCCTTACAATATTTAATCTTGTAACAGTAGTTAACGTGTACTACGTTTAGAAAGTGATAAGTTAACTTGGTTAAGATACAGGCAGTAAGCTGTCTATGGCTTTTGTCAAGATGATTGCACACACAGCAACACTGAGTTAGTAAACACAACTGTGTAAACTAACTGAATTTCTTAGTACGACAGAAATGTTTACTCATAACAAACTACAAAATAAACTGACAGAAAAATAATATCTCAATACCTTTTATTACTGAAATTTATATCATCCATCTAAATGCATACAAAGATACCTTCTGTTGTAAAGTTAATTATATGCTTATGATTTTGCTTAAAACTACGCAATAATCGAATACTTTATAAGTTAATTAAAAATTGTAGTAGAATACAAATCAGTCATCATACGACCATAATATACTGATGGTAATCTCCTCACTTAACGAATCATTTAAGAGCGATTCCATCAACAGTTCAAAATTATTCGAAAGATTTAACTAATCTTGTGAAAACCAGATTATTTTGTTATTAGTAATCTAAATAAACACTGAAGGACACCACTGACTTAAGAGCCATATGGGTTAAAACGGTTTTTCTTCCCTTTCAAAATAAGATTAGACTCTAAAACTCCCAGCTCTGACTCTTCACAAACAGTCATCTCCTTTTTTCATATTTAATGTCTTTTCTTGCCGAAAATTCCAGCTATGTTAGACATTTAACAAAAATTTCTGCTCTCATTGTCTTTGATGACAACAGCAATAACAACAAATAACCGGATTAATTTAACTATGAAAATAGGAATATTGGTTGACTCTCACTTATGCATCATCGAAACAAGTTCCACTACTCGCTGTCATAAGGTTGAGTGATGTTATAACAGGATTTCCGTGAAAGATAAATGCTAAATTTCAGAAACTAGAATAATAGTAAAAATTATGATTTAAAAGACGATTGAAAACTAGGAAGTTCTGGGCAGCTGTATGATTGATATATCATCCTAGTTTGGAACCTTTCAGTAATGTGCACCCATGGGCCACATAGGGAACCAAACGCAGGACCTTCAGATTGGTAGGTGATTCCACTCAATATCTAGCCACTGAGATGCAATCTAATGACCTATGTACTCTAATTTCTGTCAATTCATAATTTTTAGCGCGACCGTCAACCACACCTAGCATGGTAGACCCCACTGGTTGGGACTTCTTCTTGGAACTCTAGTCAACTTCGTCCTGTACTTATTCACTAGTTAGCATAAAAATAACTTCCAAGTTTCATTTTGTAGGTGTTTAATTAGTCCCAGGTTTGATTGCGTATCGTTATCAGTTAGAGAGCGTGACTGTGTTCTGATAAAGAGTCTTAAACCAGGATAAAACACCTATCCAGTAGCCCCTGGCTTTCAATGGTTCTGTAAATGATATCAATCCATGATATAATTTGAATCCAACCTAACCTTTACAAACGATATCATGAAAATTTTATTTCATCTTAAAAAGAGTGAAAATTCGCTTTTTCAACTGACAAAAAATGTTCAGTATTTTTATTTTGCATATTAACTAACTGAAAATTGTGCTACAAAAGAAATGCAAAAAATAGCTGGTTATCAGTAAATAGGTATTCGCGTAAAATCAGGCGAATGTATCAGTACTTAACACAGCAGCTCAATCAACTTTCCATTCAAAATCATTACAAAGTTAGCGCAAAAATCTACCAAAGCTGATTTATTTTCGACTTCCTTGTCCTGCAAAAGCCTTCTCCATACGCAAACAGAAGTCAGAGCTTTGTAATCAAAAGAAACTCGTTCAATCTCTACATCTGCCATAGATCTACTTCTGTTTTACCTGTTAGTTATCGTTGTTTTTTTCCATTCCCTTTTTCTTTTCATCTTTATTTGGAAAAACTACACTATTTCATTTTATTTCTATGCATATCCCTTGTCACACCTATCTTCGTTAAAAACTATTTTATATGTTACGCAATTGTTTCACAATCCTATATAATTATGTTTTACGAGTTGATCACGGACTGATATCAGTTAGAGAACCATTGAAAACCAGGGAGTACTGGACAGCTGTTGTTTCATCCTAGTCTGGGAATCATCGGCAGTACGCACCCACTGGGATTCGAATCCAGGACCTTCCGGTTACAAGGCAAGCTCGTATACCATTCAGTCACTGTGGATGGATGTCCCACCAACGACAATGGTTGGGGTCGCGCTAAATCACGAATTGGTAGAAGTTAGAATTCACGAGCCATTGAATCGGGTCCCAGTGGCTGAATGGTATACGAGCTTGCCTTGTAACCGGAAGGTCCTAGGTTCGAATCCCAGTGGGTGCGTACTACCGATGATTCCCAGACTAGGATGAAACAGCAGCTCTCCAGTACTCCCTGGTTTTCAATGGTTCTCTAACTGATATCAATCCGTGATCAACTCGTAAAACATAACTAATCCTTACAAACGAAACTATATAATTATGTTTATATACCTCTTGTAATCAATATTTATACCTCCAAGCTTTCATATCAAGTTGAAAATTATACTCTTCAATTTCCTTTCACATCACTATGATGAATTAAATAATAATTGTATGTAAACTTATGCAGAAGAATACAATTTTACAGTTTTTGTGGATGAAATCGCTGAAAGGATATTTTTGCTGGGTTTCTTGTTTCGCTTTTTCTGCTTTCGAAGTATAAAATTGTGAAGTAGAATGAATTCATTCAACTCAGTAGACTTAAATGTCTTTGAAAAGAAAGCCTTTCAGAGAAAATGATTTGTACTAAAATTGGAATAATTGGGTGTGTCATACTACAAATGAGATACCTTTTAAGTATTCAGCACGGTCCACTGTGAACCAAGAAAAATGGTTTAAATGCAAGGCCTATAGACAGGCAGGGCCAAGGTTTGATCCCCGGCCGACGGACGCACTCCTTCACGTCGCTAAACCAGAAATAATGTTGGTAAAGAGGAAAGGTTGGGCATGAGGCTAGCAACCCCATCCTGTTAAATAAACACTGCTACAGAAACTTCAAGCCACTAGCTTGAAGCCCTATGTTCCACTGGGGAACGTGAAGAAAAAAATAGACGGCATGGTTTCATGTCAGCTTATTGTAGTAAAGTAAGGGATATTTCCTCCTGAGGTGTCGCCTGCAAAATCTTTGAATAGAAGTAATTTTTGGTGATATTATGTTATATTTTATGGATATTGTTGGAAACGGTGAACTCTTTACATAACATGTTAGTCAGGCGTGACTGTGGTTCTCTGTACATGTTAGTAGCAAGTGTTCATGTTTCAGCTGAAATCTCGTGAAATCTTGATATCGTAAGAAGAAAGGAATAATTAAAGGCTGACATTTTCTACGAAACTTTGTTTTTTGGTGAAGGAGGGGGGTTGAGAAATCCGTTTTGCTTTTTGATATAGATTCACTTTATCGACTACTAAGAATTTATTTTAGTTATTTAAAGGGAAACTCTGGTTACTTTCAGTTGATAAATGTCTTTAAAAACTTACAAAAACGCTACTAGAAATAAAGTTCTTATTTTCAACACTCAGTGGAAACATAACACCTTAAGAATCATATTACTCAATTCACATTTTTCGTGGGAATACTGGATATCTTCTTGAATTTCAACTGTCTCATCGAAATAAAAAGTGAAATATTCCTTTTTTCTAACCAGAGTAGGAATTATTTTTATTTTCAAATAACTGACACATAAATGCTACTGGTGACAGTGAACATAATATTCGAAATGCTTTTGTTACAAAGCTTTTCAGGTGTAGGAAACGTCTGTAGTTCTCTATGTATGAGGTAATCTAGGTTGTCATCTAGTGATAACACTGATGTTTAGCATTATAAGCTGAATTGTGTGTAGGAGTCTGCATCTATCATTCAG